TGTATGACAAGAAGATTTTTTAGGAAAGGCAGTTTTAAGGCAAAATCTTACTTTGAAAGGGCAAATAACTCACTTCCTGTTGGATTTAGGTCAGGGGTGTCAGCGCGTGATTTTTTGAGCATGTTTAGGGGGTCAAATTCCAGTTCAAAGAGGCGGTGGGAGAAAGAATAATGAGCAGTCCTCTGCCTCTAGGCTCGGTCCCTAATAATATTAGGGACTGACGCGATTTCAATAGGGTCCTCGGACGACTTCTTCATCACTCGGGCCCTAATAATAATAATAATAATAATAAACAGCGCGCTTACAATAGGGTCCTACGGACGACTTTGTCGTCGTCGCTCGGGCCCTAATAATCATTCGAAAAACAATAGGGACCTTGCAGGTCTCCTGCTCGGGCCCTAATAAACAGTGCGATTACAATAGGGTCCTCACGGACGACTTCGTCGTCACTAATCAATACCTCAATGTAAATGAGAAACAAAACACAGCAAAAAAAACGAAAAACAATAACCTGCATCGACACAGCACTTATTCCCCAAAGCTTGAAAACATCAATTCATTCATAAGAGTTGAAAAAAATATATATATCAGGCAATAGAAGTTATGAAAATTTTATATTCTTACTGCATTTGTCTTCACAGAAAACACAAAAGGTTAGACTAAGAGCTCATTTATGCTCCCAGAATGAAAATGTATACGTCCGTTTCAAATGATGTTACCGTCACTGCCCACATAATTCCATGCGCCCTTTACGTTGGCATGGATGTTAACCAATATATCCACCAGGAGGCAGCCCAGCGTCAAAAGTTTATGACAACAACACAGTCAAAAACAAACATGGCGACTGTGGAGGAGATATTGATAATGTACCTCTTGCATAAAAGACAGAAACAGAGGCAACGTTGTAGGAGGTGGTGGTCGGTGAGGCTGTTAAATACATCGTGACTGGAGGACAGAGAATTCTTTTCTCTAGTACTGCCGATGAGAGAAATTGAATTGTTCTTTCTTCTTGTCTCACTAGAGCTACGTATCGGATAGTGACAGCAACACTGCCCCCACGGTTCCCGGTGGTACTGCTCCGTTTGGCTTGTATCCGTAAGCTTTATGGAAACATGCAGAAATACGGACGAAATGAACGCAGAGCACGGACAGAAGGCTCCGTCCGTATCCGGATCTGGATCCGTATTTAACGTTGAGCATAAATGAGCCCTTAAAGGAAATCTGTAAATTGTCATTTTTGACAGTGGTGATGAACAAAAATTAAGTAAAAATCAAAGACTTGTGAAGAAAGGGAAGGAGAAGTGGGTAGTTGCTGTTGCTGCTTCACATTACCAAAGCTGTACACTATACATTAAATATAATGTATAGCGCAAGAATAGTGACCAAAACTGAAAATGGCAATGATATTACAACCAGAAAGGCAATTAATTCCCGTAATGTAAAATGGTTTACAAATTAAGCTGGACCTTGTTTACGTAATACATTTCCAGTTTATGTTAACTGTTACCTTTAAATGATACACTGTACTAACTTTCTCCTGTTGGTATACAAAATTATTGCATCATTAGGTTTCAGTGTGGGTCAATTTTTGACATTTGCAAACAGTGAAATTGTTCATTTTAACTGTAACCAATCACTTTTTGGGAACTGCCCATTGGTCCAACATCCCATTGGTCCAACATCCCATTGTTCCAACCATATTGAACCCATTGTTCCAAAGTCCGTTCCGAAATCATCATGATGCCCTGTGGTTAAAGTCTGGTTAGGTTTAGGCACAAAAACCACTTGGTTAGGGTTAGGAAAAGATCATGGTGTGTATTAAAATGAAAAAGAAAGTGACAAACACATAAGCTGTAAGCCTGCTTCGCCTCAAGCCTTTCCCAGCTGACCCAGAGCCGGTCGCGGCGCACCATCAAGGTAGAAATACGCCCACCGGGAGCTGTTCAGCACCGCGGACTGTCGGACTAATGGGATGTCGGACCAATGGGCTGTTGCACCAATGACATGGACCCTCACTTTTTATCAAACTAATGCATACTGTATGATGTTAATCAGTTTACTACACTGGTAAGTGCACAGTCAGTATGTTTACATATACAGCTACGGTTATAGCTTGACTGTGCCATTTAATTGGACTACTGTCCTTGTACTACTACACGAGCATAGGAGGGAAACTGCTTTCATCCTCCCACTGCTAAAAGGTGAACCACCAATTGTGAATAATTACAGACCTGTCTCAAAATTATGTATTTTGGCTAAAGTATTTGAAAAAATCGGCAGCGATCAACTGAAGGAATTTTTGGAATCAAACAACATTCTAAAGCCACTTCAGTCAGGTTTTAGGAAGCAGCATGGCACTGCTACTGCTGCCCTAAAAGTTTTTAATGATGTGTTTGAGGCATTGGACTCTAGAAAGTTTTGCGCTGCCCTGTTCATTGACTTGCCCAAGGCATTTGACGCTGTGGACCACAGTGTTTTGTTGAAAATTCTCCTCAAGATTGGCATCTCCAAACAAGCAGCCACTTGGTTTACAGATTATTTGGCAAGTAGAACGCAATGTATTCAGATGGCTGGAGTCAGTTCCACCTTTCTTGAGGTCACAAAAGGCGTACCTCAAGGCTCAGTCTTAGGACCCATTTTGTTCACAATTTACATTAATGATCTGTGCGCAAACTTGTCAAATGCCTCATATCATCACCTCATACCTCATTATGTGGATGATACTGTAGTTTATTGCTGTTCACACTCAATTGCACAGGCATTTGAATTCTTGCAGTCCGCATTTGATGTAGTGCAGACTCGTCTTGAACAACTGAAACTGGTTTTAAATGCTGAAAAATCCAAAGTAATGCTCTTTTCTAATTAATCTGTTCCCCCGGAGAACATCCCACCAATTAGAATTGCTCAAGGTAAAGCTTTTCAGCTAGTCACCAGTTACAAGTACCTGGGCTTAATTATTGATGGGGAGCTTTCATTTAAAGCTCACATTAGAAATTTGGTCACCAAATTAAGGGTGAAACTCAGTTTCTATTACAGAAATAAGTCATGTTTTTCCCTCAGAGCTCGGAAGCTTCTGATATTGGCTACTTTTCTGCCTGTACTTGATTATGGCGTGTTTATGTTGTGTATATATGTGTGCTTCAACCAGCTGTCTACAGTCTTTGATTCCGGTCTACCACTGTGCTCTGAGGTTTATTACTGGTTGCAACCACCTCACCCACCACTGTGAACTGTATGCTAAAGCCCTCCTTGAATGTACGAAGGTATACACACTGGATGACTCTGATTTATAAAGCTCTTTTTGGCTTGGTTCCTGCTTATTTATGTACTTTTCTTCAGAGAACTAAAAGCCATTATGCCTTACGATCAAATAACATTTTGCACCTGTCTGCTCCTTGTGTTTGGACTAAAATAGGAAAAAAAGCATTCAGTTTCTCTGCCCCCTCTGCTTGGAATACTTTCCAATCTGAACTAAAAATACCAAACTTATTTCACCTGAAGCCTTTCACGCTATCCTAAAAGACCGAGAACAGGAATCTATCAAACAGTGCCTTTGTTCTTAAGCTGTTACTGAAACCATAACTCCTGCACTTTATTTGTCAAATTGTTTAGATTTCTATATTTCAATGTTTGTATCTTTTTATCTGTCTTTATTGACCTAAGTATGTCCAACGCCGCTACAATAGGTGGTGATATGCCCCCTTTCAGCTTGTTAGTATTGGACCTTTATCTGGTTGACCTATTATGTCACAAACCAAACAAGTTAGCCACGGCTGGCTAGAAGCAAAATGGTAACACAGTGGGGGGTGGGGGTGGGGGATCTGTGGCTCAGAGGTAGAGTGGGTTGTCTTCCAATCAGTAGATCGGCAGTTTGATCCCCAGCTCCTCCAGTCTGCATGTCGAAGTGTCCTTGAGCAAGATGCTTAACCCTAAATTGCTCCCGATGGCTGTTCCATCAGTGTGTGAATGTGTTAAAAAACTGAGTAGCAGGTGGCACCTTGTATGGTAGCCTTCGCCACTAATGTATGAATGTGTGTGTGAATGGGTGAATGTGAGTGTAAAAAAAAAAGTGCTTTAGTGGTCGAATGACTAGAAAGGCACCATACAAGTGCAGTGCAAGCCCATCCATTTACAACTTTACTGCTCTGTGCTTTACTTTTTGTACATGTGGTTACCAGCTTCTTTATCTATTATGCATTTGATGCTATTCAACTTAAGTGTCAAAGCCCAGGGCGGTAACTGTGGAGTATGTGCAGTTTGGGTCTGATTGACTGTATACATGCAGGAGTAAATGAACTCCCAATTACATTACCTGGGTGTGTTAGTCTGTTTACATGTATGTTTACATGTATTATAAAAGTCCAGTTTTAGTCAGACTAACACAATAAATTGATTTTCTCTTATGTCATGTAAACATACTGAGTGTTTATTAAAGTAATTGGTAGGTACTGTATTTGCAGGCGTGACAGCTGACATCTGATACACAGCAACGAATTTTACTCCCAGCTGACTCAACACAGTTTATAACATAAACAATGAGCTGTGAGGACTTTTGGGCCTACAGGGCCAGAGATGTGAGTAATTCATTGATGAACCTCCCATTCTAAATCAAGATAAGCTTTTTTTTGTATAGGATAGAATTTTGGAGAAGAAGCAAAAGCAAGTTGAAATGTGATGATTGGAAATAAATAAAAAGTCATGCATTTCCTGTATAAATGTAAAAAGAGAGCATGTTTACCATGACCTGGAGAAACTATGGAAGAAACAACTTTCAACAAGAGAAAATACAGTATGTTACAATCCCAGTACTAATGCTGTCAAATGAGGTCTTAAAAGAGAAAAAGTACATTCACAGAATCAGAAAAATTCACTTAGCAGCACAGGGGTGTGCATGATGGATGATCCATGAAGCGTACGATCAGTGGTGGTGAATACTGTATGAAAGCATTATGGTATTAGAACATTCAGCAGCACTTGATGTCAGTGTTGATGGGACATACCTTGGGTCATTGCACTCCCCATGTTGTCAGTGGGGCTGCAGCCGTTCTGGATGGTTTGGGTGCCTAGATCCACCATCTGGTGGAGGCGGAGCTTGCGGCAATAGATTGATGCTGCCTCAGGTTCTAAGGCGATGATCAGCTGCTCTGGGTTTTCACGGGACACCAGACCAGACTGCACAAGGGAAGAATACAGACAAGGAGAAACACCTTTAACTTCCAACGCAAACCTTTGTTGTTTTCAACTTCTTTCCCAGGTATTAGTCATAATGGTGACATGTTTAAAATGCCCATGATACTGTAGAAATCTGTGTCTGAAGTGTAGGCTTTGTTTTGGACTTCATTATGCTAGTTGTGTGGAAAAAGTTGTTGTTTTGCTTGCCCATGACTGAACTCAAAGTAGCTCTATAAAAGGTCATCTCTTTACTTCTGAACCATCATTATGTTGTTTGGGACATGACATGTTTAGGGTTGGGCGGCACGGTGGTGTGGTGGTTAGCACTGTCGCCTCACAGCAAGAGGGTTCCCGGTTCGATCCCGGGTGTGGGAGCCCTTCTGTGCAGAGTTTGCATGTTCTCCCTGTGTCAGCGTGGGTTCTCTCCGGGCACTCCGGCTTCCTCCCACAGTCCAAAGACATGCAGATTGGGGATTAGGTTAATTGACAACTCTAAATTGTCCGTAGGTGTGAATGTGAGCATGAATGGTTGTCTGTCTCTATGTGTCAGCCCTGCGATAGTCTGGTGACCTGTCCAGGGTGTTCCCTGCCCAATGTCAGCTGGAATAGGCTCCTGCCCCCACGCGACCCTCAAGAGGATGAAGCGGTTAGAAGATGGATAGATGGATGTTTAGGATTGCGTGGTATTATAAGAGATGTAGTGCAAAAAAGGCAGTAGGACCTGTGTCCATTCTCTCACAGCCTCTAACAGCAGACATACTGGAGGACAGAAAACAGAGTATTCCCACTCCCGTACAGGTACAGTGGTACAGGAACCACTTCTCAGCATTTACAACAGAAGGACTAAAATGAAAGGCACACATATAGCTTCAGACACAGTCTGAAGACACAGTCTGAAGCTATATACAGTCTCCTACCCTCAGGTCAGCGATATAGGTCACTGGCCTTCAAGACCAAGAGAGCCATGACAAGCTTTGTGCTCTCATCCATTAGACTGATGAATAGTTAGTTTTGGTATATGTATGTATGAATGTACATATGTGTATGCTTGTAGGTGTGTTGGTGTTTTTTCCTTTTTAACATTTGTACTGTTGCTCTCTGCAGATGAAATTCCTAATGGAAAATAAAGTTCTTTGAGCTGAGTTGAGTAAATGCATTAATACTGACTGCTGGGGCAGCATATTTCACATTAACCTTTGTCACAAATGTCATAATGCCAGATGCATTTCATGTACAAAAAACTGCATAAATAAAATAACCAAATCAAGATTCATGGATATCTGTTATTTAAAGTGATGTGACACTGCAGAAGAAGAGATGATTGTAGTGTGACCCATAGAGACGACTTTGATTTAGGTTTCAAGACTTTCATAAAAGTGCTTTTAAGGGCTATTTCATACACTGGTCTGTATTCAAGTGTAACTATGGGAAACGGCATGTTTAACTGCCCTTTTTTTTTTTAGCATTTATTCATCAATGTTTATAAGAGGGCTGCAGCAACATGTTGTGTTTGCGGTAATATTTGGCACAATAGCAAATTAAGAAATTGACTGGCATATTGTGTGGGATGAACCTGAATTCAATCAATCAATATGTGCAAGTTGTAGACATATCAGCAGTGCGACGGTCCCCTGGCCTTTTTACTTATTCTGTGTTCTGTTTATTGCAGCAGGAAGGTTATGTGGTGGAGGGAATGATTGACCTGGTTGGAAGTCACTGGGCCCCGTGCTCTAAGGCTATAGCTACAATTACAGCCCCATGGTTGTATGCCCCCGTGCATCAGCCAAGTTTCTCTTACAGTTTACATCTGGGTCTGTGAAAACATGGATGCTTCACATACATATTCCCCCCAACAGCACAGAGGATCTATACAATCAGCACAGTTTCAAGGCACCAAAGATTAGTGTTACCAATTCAGTATCTAAACAAATGTCTCCCCATCTGTCCCTGAGATAAGATGTTGAGTAATGGCCTGGAAAGTGTTTTATGCAAAACATCATGATGTCACAGTAAAACTGACCTTGACTTATGGTCAAAAACATATTTTGTGAGGTCACACTGACCTTGACCACCAACCTTCAATCAAAAAATCATAAGCAGTTTATTCTTCAGTCAAAGTGGGTGTTTGTGCCAAATTTGAAAAAATTCTCTCAAACTGTTGAGATACTCTGCTCACAAGAATAAATCAAAGGGTCACAGTGACCTTAACCTATGACCACCAAAGACTCAGTTCATCCTCGAGTCCAAGTGGACATTTGTGCTAAATTTGAAGAAAATCCCTCAAGGCATTTTTGAGATATTGCATTCACAAGAATGTGTGCGTATGGACCGACAACCTGACAACATAATGCCAGGCGCAGTGGTATAAAAAAAACCTGTCACTCTGGCTCATCCTCCCAGATGCATTGTTTGTTACTTTCACACTTGCAATAAACACATCTCATCGTTACCTTAACTTGCTTTTGGGTTTCTTGGGTTTAAAGTTATTCATTTTATGTAAATACATTATTCATTATTTTGCCTTCAGTCTGCGTCTCTCTGTTTTTTGTCATGGCCTTAGATCCAGGTCATGACAGCAGCCGTTTATGATATTATGATGTAGTTTGAAATTCTTTATCTTATTAGCCTTGCAGTGTATGATAGGGGACTGCTGACCAGGTAGCTAAAATTATATCCAGCTGCCACCAGCAAATTCATGCTAACATTTTTAGGCATGTAAACGCAGAAGGAAAAGCATAGACATCACATACATGTATTTAACCGACTGATGACAATACAGTGAAGCTATGTTGTTTATGTTGAATATAGCAGTATTGATGGTGACATTGCTGCAGGACTTTAACAGTACCTGTGTGACACCATCTGTTGCCTGGTCTGAATGTTCCTTAAAGGGACATTGTGTAACATTTTCAGTTGTTTATTGGCAAAAATTGATGTCTACATTCATAAATATGTCATCATTGGTGTATTATTACCTCCACCAATAATCTGATTTATTCTCGTAAAAGGAGAATTTCGGATTTGTTTGTACATTGTGCGAGTAAGTTGTCTGGGGAGTTCCAAGGGACATACAGCCCCGCCTTCGGCATTTTCGTTGAGAGCCAAGCCAGTGCTGCGTGACCAAGAAGCCAAAGGAGAGGAGCAAGATCCCTGTGGCACTGATAATTTAGATGCCAGATTATTGCAGTTGTCGGCTAGAATAGTGGTGAGGCCAATTTTTCATATTTTCAATTTGTGTTTCGACGTATGTGTCTTTCCTCAGTTGTGGAAGGGTGCAAAGGTAACTCCACTGTCCAAAATTAATAGAGAGTCTTTATCAGGACCAAACAGCAGACCAATTAGTATTTTGCCTGTCTTAAGCAAAATTATGGAGAAAATCCTTTTTAACCAAATTCAGAAATATTTCGAAGATAATAGCATTAATTCTGAGCACCAACATGCCTACAAAACTGGCTATTCGACCTGCTCAGCCTTAACATCTCTTACTGATGATTGGTTGAAAAGTATTGATGAGAAATTGATTGTAGGTGCAGTACTGTTAGACTTTAGCGCAGTTTTTGACATCATAGATCATAAGCTATTACTCAGAAAGCTGTCAGCTTATAAGTTCAATGATTCGGCTCTTAAATTATTAAAAAGTTACCTGTCTAACTGACAACAATGTGTGATGTTTAATGGCACCCTCTCAAGCACTGCAACGCTGAATAGTGGGGTTCCACAGGGGAGTAGCCTTGGGCCGCTACTATACTCCATCTTTGTTAATGACATGCCATACGCATTAAAGCGTGCAGGTTCAGTGATTTACGCGGATGACATGACATTGCATGTCTCCGCAGAAAACATTACATCTGTTAATAAGTTACTTCAACATGAATTAATGCTGGTTTCAGAGTGGGTTTTGGAGAATAAGCTAAAACTGAATGTCTTGTAAACTATGTGTATGTTTATTGGCTCTAATCATGTACTGAGGTCTGAACCCAAACTGTGTCTTTCTATGCAAGGCATTGCTATAGAACAGGTTAAAGAAGCCAAACTATTGGGAGTAACAGTGGATGAAACTTTATCTTGGTCTAGTCATATTAATAATATAGTGTCCAAAATGAGTAGAAACATCTCGAACATTAGAAGATGCACTTATCTGCTGAATGAATCAACTGTCAAACTATTAATTAACTCTTTAGTTCTGTCTCATCTGAACTACTGCCCAACAGTTTGGTCCAGTGCCTCAAAGAAAGATCTTTTTAAACTCCAGCTTACTCAAAACAGAGCAGCACGCCTTGCTCTGCGGTGCTCTATCAGAGACAGTGTTATGAGTATGCACGCGAGGCTCGCATGGATGCTGGTGGAGGAGAGACTGGCTTATAGTCTTATAATGTTCTTGAGAAAGACTTATACCTCACATAAACCTGTTTCTTTGTTCTTACAACTTCAACCAATAATTGAAAAACATAGTTATTGCACTAGGCATGCCTCAGGTAACAACTTCACTTTGCCTTTACCTAGAACCAATGCACTTAAAAAGTCAGTTATGTATAGAGCTGTAGCTCACTGGAACAGTCTCCCCCCACACTTGATCACAATTGCTGGAATGTCGAGTTTTAAAATGAAACTGAAGGAAGCTGTGTTTTGTCATGAAATTATGTTGAATAGTACTATGAAATTATGAAATTATGTTTAACTCTCTTATCATGTTAATACATCTGTGTTGAACGTCATATTTTACTTCATGTTGCTTCATGATACTCTTCTATAATCATGTGACTCTTCTATAAACATGTTATAACTCTTCTATAATCATGTTAAATATTTACCTGGAGTGACTTTATGTTATTCCTTTTGATTATGTTAAAACATTTACATTGTATTACTTTATGTAAATTTCTATAATCATGTTAATATATTTAGGATGAATGATGTAATTCTTTGTGTAAATGCTATAATGTTGTAATTGTCTTTGTTTGATCTAATGTGGACACCAGGAAGAATAGTCTTCATTTCCA